ATCTAAAAAAAAAAAAAAAAAATCTCCAGTCTTTAAAATTGTTGTACTGGGCTACCTTACCAGGCTGATCTTAACTGTGGGCAGGTGGGATTACAGGCATGCAGCACAGTGCTTGGCTTACCTTTCTAACCTACTTTAAAATCTTTCATTTTACTTTTTCTTGTTCTTTGTTTTGGTACCAGGCATCAAACTCCGGCCCTTGTACTTGCAAGGCAGGTGGCGGCACCACTGAGCCAAATCCCCGGCTCCTTGTTTGTTCTTCTGAGGCAGGGTCTTGCTATGAAGCCCAGGCTCGCCTGGAATTCAGGGCATGCCTGCTCCAAGTGCTGGGACCACAGTGCCTCCCGTGCCCAGCACACACAGCTCCCTCTTTACGTACAGTTGCCGCTGCTCCACATCCCCGTGGTCAGAGCTAAACAGGTGCAGCCCACAACCTAGACCTGAAATACCTGCTCTCTGGCCCTTTGCTTAAAGAGCTGGCTATCACCTGTGCATTCCTCCTTTTTTTTTAAACAGATCTTTTTTTTGGCTGGCACCTGGAGTCGAACTCAGGACCTTTTCTTATTTTGGGGGTCAGGCCTTACCCTGTAGCCTAGGCTGGCCTCAAACTCTGATGAGGACAGATGCGCGGCTTTCCCCGTTTCACAGACACCTGTCCTGGGATGGGCAGATGAAGTGACGCTGTCCCTGCATCAATGCCTGAGCTCAGCACCTGAGCCCCGACCTAGTGCTCAGCCAGCTCTCCTGCCCTGAAGCTCTGGCTGCCCAGCTGGCCCTGGCTGAGGCACCTGGGGCTGCTTGCTCTTCCCGCCGCACCGGAACAGACTGGGCCAGGCTGCTGGGGAGAGAGCACACGCCCCAGGGCAGAGTCCCCACCACCCCTCCCGAGGTCACCCTGGATCAGCCACATACCCCGAGTGCTGCGTGGGCCAGAGAAAGTCAATGCCCGGCCCAGCCCCACTGAACCCCCAGTGGAGCTGCTCGGCTTACTTCTAGGTGCCAAGTCCTGGGGTTTGTTGTACCTCACTAGACAATGGAAACGACTCGGGAGCCGCTCACACTTTCCCTACCATGGGAGGAGGGAGGAGACAGGAGGCGCACTGGACAGGGAGAGGGCAGCACCTGAAGCTCGGGAGAAACTGCTGTGCCCGACTGTGTGCAGACTGCGGGAGGGGAAAGGTGACGTGAGGCCGCACCCCACTGGGAGCTCCAGCAGCACAGCAGCTTCTGGTCTACAAGAAAGGAGTCCCATTTATTTCCTATTTATAAAATGTAAAAACACCCCTTGGGCATGAAATCGAAATGTCCACGGTGCCGCTGGTCAGAAGCACAGAGCTAGTGCTCACAGTGTCCTTAGGCACCAGGGAAATGGGGGCCCAGGTGTCCACTGTCCCCACAGAGCCACAGGACAGAGAAGCGAGGCAGAGGGTGTGGTGGTCACGCAGCAAATCAGGCACAGGAGCCACAGGGTGCAGGAGGGCATCTTGCTGCCCACAGCCACTGGCTCACCCTGCACAGCAGCCAAGCTGGCCTCCGCCAGGAAGGCCGAGTCACCTCCGGCCCTGCAGGAGCTCCTGGCGCAGCCACACCGAGTCACGGTAGAAGCGTGGGTCACCCAGCCGCAGGGCCGTCCGCTTGTAGAAGTAGCAGTACAGCACCGCCGCTGTGGGGAGGGGAGGGGACAGGCAGCGCTCAGGCCCCAGCCTGCTCTGGCCCTGGTGGGGCCCGGGAGGCCACCGGCGCAAGGTCCTTACCCAGCCTCTGGAGCACAAATAGCACCTGCAGCCCACTCGTCCACAAGGAGCTGCTGGAGCTTCTCCAGCGTAGGTTCTGGAGGAGAGAGAGGCAGGTCAGCAGCACAGCCCAATGTCCCCATGGCTCAGCTCCCGAGGTGCCGCTGGGGAGAAGCAGCATGCCTTGCTCTCCTCCTGTCCACCCGGAGGACCTCATGCCCCCTTCCGCTGTAAAGGGAAACCTCCCACCCCGCTGCCTTCTCCACGGAAAACCAGCCATCGGGGCACGCGGGCTCGCCTCTTGTCAGCTAAGGCCTGGGCTGACAGGCTGGAGTCAGTGGCTTTGGTGCGTGAAGCTAGAACTTCTCTGGGCCCAGCACCAGGGCCAGGACACCTGCAGGAGGCGCCCGAGGCCTCCTCTGCCTGGGTCCCAAGCACAGAGGCTGTTGTGATACAGAGGGACTGGGACCCTTGATTTTGCTGTGGCTCCGGGGATGGTACCTGGGGCCTCAGCGTCTGAGATACGTGTGCTCCCTGCCAGCTCTGTCCCCAGCGCAGACCTGAGGTGCTGAGCTCTATCAGCACCTGAGGTACAGCAAACCCGAAACTAGGAAGGCCAGGCCATACCCAGGCCTCATCGGTGCCAAGGGAAGCATCTGGGGCCCATAGCTTTCCTGCCTGCCAGCTGCTCCACCAAATGCCACTATCTCAGCCCAGCCCCAGCATGATGACACCCAAGAGGCCCTGCAGCAAAGTGCAGCCAGGCCAATGACAAACAGCGCAGCTCCTGGCCTTCTCCCCAGCAATCGAGGTTGACCGAGTGCTGAGGACAATCCCGGCCCTCACTCAAAGCCACTCAGCACAGACAGCTGACTGGTGCGGCTCTGTGGCAGGGCCTGCCCAGCATGAGCAGGGCCTGTTTCCATCCCCAGCTCCTCCAAAACAACACCAATTGTTTCAATATTACTTCTGAGCCAAGGACAGTGGGCATTTTGGTGATCCCAGCACTCTGGGAGGCTGCGGCAGGAGGCTTCCAAGTTTGAACCTCATCTGGCAACTTAATAATTTAGTGAGACCCCATCTCCAAATAAAAAGGACTGGGGCAGGGCCGGAGATTTAGCTCAGTGGTTCTGCTGCCGGCCTTGCAAGTGCAAGGTCCTGAGTTCAATCCCTGGTACCAAAAAAACCAAAAAACACAAAACTACACAGCCTGGCGTGGTGCCGCACACCTGTAATTCCAGGACTTGGGAGGCTGAGACAGGCGGATTCCTGTGAATCCAAGGTCAGCTTGGGCTACACAGTAAATTCAAGGCCAGCCTGAACTACATAGCGATGCCCTGTATAAACAAACCAACCCAACAAAAACTTGCACACAGAAGTCCGGACAGACTACTCTGCCTATGCCCAGTGCTCCAACCCAGAACACTCCCCTTTCACTGATTTCCTGCTCGGGCTCAGAGCCACACGCTTACCATGACCCACACATGGAAGGAGACGCTGAGGGTGAAGTACGCGGCCGTCAGGACGATGGTGCCTTTGAACTTACGGAACAGGAGGCTCACCAAGCCAGCCTGGAAGACGAAGGTGTTGAAGAACATGAGGAAAATGATGATGATGTTGAAGAGGACCGCAATGTCCTGGATGCTGTGGACAGAAAACAGAGCACTCACATGGAGGCCTGTGCCCGAGAGTCAGTGTTGGGCTGTCCTTGTCTGTGACAGCATGGGCTTTAGGACCAAAATGACATGAAGCTACAGCCATCTCCTGAGTCACAGTAGACAGGCTGTCCTGCGAGCACTCCCGAGAGCTCGTTTCTTCCCCACGCCCTGTCTCAGAGGCTGGTCCATCACACACAGGTGCACTGCCCTCACCTCTGCCGGTCTCGGCCCTGCCCTGCTTCCAGACAGACCCCGCGACCGCACCAAAGAAGGCAGCCTCCCTTGCCCCACAGCGTGTGATACATATCTGCAAGAAACGACCAGACCCTGCCTGACATGGCCACTGTCCTGCTCCAGGAGAGACACCTGCGGCAGCAGCCTTCCCTGACCACTAACTTGGACCCCGACTGCAGCCAGCGCACAGGCGCTGGAAGGGAGCCTGTGCTAGGGCTCTGGCTTCAGCTAACAGCCCTGGAGGAGCCACGAACCCTCAGCTCTGCAGTGATGACGAACCTTTTAGAGCTTTCAACTGATACAAACAGCCTGCTGCAGCACATGTGCCACAGGTTCACCACCACTGGCCTGTGGGATCACACATCTTAATTTCTATGCTCACTCTTTCACTTGCTATTTCCTAACCTTCTTGCAGGGCACAGACAACATTCCTAACCGCAGGAGAAAGTGACAGGGCAGGAGACCCTCCCTGCTCTGGGAACTGTTCCTGTCCCCAGCCCCTGTCAGAAGAAACACACAGACTCTGGGTGTCCGTGCACCATGAGGAACCCAAGACAATGTCCAGTTTTCTCCTGGCTGATAGTTCTCTATCAACGACCTCACTTATGTGGCCCTGGGATGGAACCCAGACCCCACAGTCCAGCCACTGCCTGCCCGGGCCTTGGGGCCCCACGGACTCACATGAAGAGCACCAGCTGGACGACAGGCGCCACGCGGAGGAGCTCGGAGAACGCGTTGACAAAGAGGTCGTAGGCCAGCAGCAGGAACTGCAGAGACAGCACCAGGCTATAGTTGCTGGTCTGCAGCATCTTTCTGCCGCTTTCCGGGTCCAGGCCACATCCCAGTCCCTCTTGGACACCAGGAGGGGCGCTGACCTGTTCCCAGACAGGGCTGCTCCTCTTGTGCTAGAGAAGGACCTTTTGGGATGAAAAGAGAGGCGACATCAGAAACCCACTGAAAAACGGACTGAGCCCTCACTGTGTGTGAGGGGCCATTCCAGAGACTAGTGAAAAAGGAAACCGGCAATGGAAACGCCCCCAACCTCAAACCTTTCTCTGCCTGGACCCTCTTAAGGCAGAGTTGTTCCTAACAAAAAGTCCAGGGGGACCGGAGGTCAGAGCAGCCGCCTGCCCCTGTGTGAACAGTAACCGTAACAGCAGCCGAAAACCCAGTGGGGTGTGGTGGTGTCGCCTGTAATCCCAACACTCTGGGAGGCTGAAGCAGGACGATCTTGAGTTTGAGCTCAGCTTGGGCAACTCAATGACTTAGACCATCCTGAAAAGGAGAGGGAGACTCGGGATGAGGTGCACACGCACATGGATGGCCCCAGAACTAGAGAAAAGCCAGCACCTGCTATGCATCACTTGCAGGGTGTAAGGAGGTCTGTGAGCACTAACAGTACTCGGCTTCACCACAGACTCAGGAGGGGTGGAAGATACTTTGTGACTGCTCTTGTTTCAGAGAAGAAATAGCCCAGAGGCCAAAGTTACCTGGCTGCTAAGCAGAACAGCTGAGATTTGAAAGGGGCCATCTGGGTGCCCTCTGCTCTTAACTCCTGCAAGGATGCCTGATGTATAACTAGGTAGGAAAGGGGTTCACACACGTGGGGGTGGTGACAATGGAAAGAGCTGAAAGCGAAAAGGGCTCCCCTGAAAAGGTCACATCCTGGTAGGGCAGGAGCACAGTGGGCCCAGGTAAGGGGAGCTGGGCCTTTGCTGTCACAAATCTCAAGACTCGCGAGTTGCTCTGAGGGTGTCCCGCGACCCTGCAGCTACACCAACTCTACTAACTAATTTCAAAACGCAGCAGGTGTGGTGATGCATGCCTGTAATCCCAGCATTGGGGAGGCCAAGGCAGAAGGATCACTTCGAGTTGCAGGCCAGCCTGGGCTACAGAGCGAGACGCCGTCTCAAAACAAAACTCCCAGAACGCTCCAAAGTGTCGCAAAGTGATTAAGCGAACACCCGTAAAGCATTTTACATTTCACAAACCCTGCACACCGCTTAATCCCAGGACTGATCGGACACGTAGATGCGCAGAACCCCTCTGAGAGGCGGAGAGGCGAAGGTCCCCGGTTCCACCCCAGGGAGAACCATCTGGACACGACCACATCCTTTACTCCTCGCGGCAAGTGGGCGAGCGAGGCCCGTACACGGTGGGGGTTCTGCACCCCGGCAGGCTCGGCAGGCCAGGCCAGGGACGCCCAACCCGGGCTCTGCCGGCCGGAAACGCGCCTCTCACCCCCGCCACGCAGCGCTCTGCACTGGCCGCCCGCCTTGTCCTACAGCAGTTTTCATGGCTCTTCTCACTCCAGTTAAAAGTGGGGTTGTTTGGCAAAAGCTCAAACCCAAAGCAACAGCGACAGAAACCCCGGCTTCTGGCCTCTCATCACCCGCGCTCACCCCAAAGAGCCCAAGGCGGTTGCCATGGGGACACCGTCCTTCCGGAAGCCGGCCAGAAGTTCCGGAAGTGGATGGGCCCCCGCTTCACGTTCGGTGTCCACCAGGCCGCCATCTTTGTCCCTCGCTTTCTGGGCTCGCCTGCTCCTGGTCCTCCCATCTTCCGCTCATTTTGAGAGCTACTCCCGGCGAGAGGCTGAATATCAACTGGAACATTTCTGCTTCTTCGGGATGAGGGATGAAGTGCAGAGCAGAGGTGTCGAGGTGCTCCAAGGCCCTGACCCCGGGCGTGAGGAAGAAACGCCCGCGGAGGAACGGCGGCCGTGGACCGGAACCTTGGTGCTTCCGGACCATGGGGCTTGCACTCCATTTCCCAGGGGGTCTCGCGCGCAACCGGAAGTTCAGAGAGCCTATAAGAGCGCCCTCGAGGCGTGTGGGCAGCTCTTTTTGCAGAAGGCGCCTTCTGTGGATGTCGTACGCTAGCTCCAGGACCTGGGGCGGTGGCGCTGCGGCTCCCAGCGGCGAAAGGCGGGCCTTGGGGTCCCCGGCCGGTGGCGTCCCGCTCTGGCTAGGGGTGAGAAGGAGCCGGACCAGGATGTGAGGACCTGGGTTCAAGGGCTGACTCTGCTGATACCTTGCTTTGCGCTATCGCTGCACTTCTCTCGGCTTCAGCTGTTTGCTGTTTTAGGAAGGGGACACTGTTCTCAGAGCCCTTCCTTACCAAGCGATAGTTGTTAAAGCTGGAACGCTTTGGGGAAGGTGCGGAAAGCAGTCGGAGCCCCTGTCCCTTTTTCCACGCGAGGTTGGCTGGGACCAAGGGCCCTGCAGAGGGGACAGGTGTCAGCCCTGACTCAGTCCCGAGCCTGTGGTCGCTGGGGCTAAGGAGGACCTGCCTGGGCTGTTGGGCCGCTAAGCCTCTAGTCCTGATGTTTCACGGGCTGCTGTGGGAAAGGCACTGAGGAGGAGAGGATCTGGGTGCCTGTCCCAGCGCTGCCACCCGCCTTGGCCAAGTCATTTTCTTTCTTTAACCCTAGTGGTAGGGAAGGTGTAGGGCTTGACTCTTCTAAGTCTTGTTCTCAGGATTCCTGAGTTGGAGCAACACACCGTTCTGTCATCTGTTTGTGACTCTAAAATTTGAAAGTAATGTGAGTGTGGAGTACATACAGTACGGCCTTTTTCGAAGACCAAGAGACCAAAGGGACGTAGGCATTTCTCATCCCTGAGCCAGTCCCAGTGCAGCCTAGGACGGTGGGGTGACCTGTGCACACATGCCGCAGCAGGCTGTTTGTATCACTGAAAGATCCAGAAGTTTAATGTCAGTGACTAGGAGAACCCTTCTGCAGAGGGATTGAAGGAAGTGTTATGTCCAGTAGATTCCTTAGATCAGGGTGAAGGGCTGCAAGTCTCAGGCCGCAGCTGGCCACCTGAATGGTTTCTCCATGTCGATTGAAAATGATTTTTCTATAGGGGTACTGGGGATGGAGCCCAGTTTTACACCAGTTTTTTTTGGGGGATGCAGGGGATCAAACTGGGCCCTTGCACTTGCAAGGTAGGCAGCAGGACCACTGAGCCAAATCCCCGGCCCTGGAGCCCAGTCCTGGGCAGGGCCTCACTAACTGGCCAAGCTCCAAGCGGGAAGTGTGACTCACCTCAGCCCAGGTGCTGGGATCACGGCGTACCCCTCCGTGCTCTGCAAAGGGTAGCAGTTTTTTGACGTGACGATCACAACAAACTCAGATTTTAGTGTTCACAAAGGGTCACGAGCACAGCCTTGCACACTTGCTAAATAGTTGCCTGTGGCTGCTCTTGCAGTACAGTGCACCAACAGCGGCTTTGTGGAAGAGTTTGCTGCCTCCTGCGTTAGAACAGGGCTCTGCAGAGGGGCGCAGAGCAGGAGACCCAGCTGCGGCAAACACTTCCTGAAGCCCCAGCCTAGCACCCACCCACATCAGGGCCTTTGCACCCCATTCCAGGAACTGGAGGGCTGGTCTGTGTGCTGTGGTCGGCATGCTATGACTTCCCTGCTCTCGGTCATGAAAGTCCCATCCTCTGCTCTAAGCTTGTCACAGCAGTAATCGGGACTTTGTCTAAGGGTGTGGATACAGGGTACCATTTGGAGCATATTTACTTTTTCTTTTGTGTGTGTGTGTGTATTTTTTTATTGTTTTTTGAGACAGGGTCTCAAACTCAAAGCAATCCTCCTGCCTCAGTCTCCCAAATGCTGGAATTACAGTCAAGCACCACCACACTTGGCTACTTTTCTTTTTACAAAGAAAATAAAAACATTGGAATCCTAGGACTCTGAAAGGCTAAGGCAGGAAGATGGCAAGTTTTAGCCCAGTCTGGGCAGCTTAGCATTTAATGAGACCCTGTCTCAAAATAAAAAATAAAGAGCTAGGAGGTGGCTCAGTTAGAAGTCCCTGGGTCAATCCCCAGTACCTCCTTGCCTTAAAAAAAGACTGGAAATAGTGGTCATCAGATGCTGGAGCATGCTGCTGACCAGGACTCCTTCCAGCTGGTGTAATGTCACACAGGAGGCCTGGTGAGCTGGAGCTTCTCTGCCTGGCAGGAATTGAGGTGGCAGCTCGCTGGGTAGCAAGGCTCCGAGCTCAGTAGCCGAGTCATGAGGCGGGCACCACGAATTTCTCTGCCACTCCTTGTCCTTGCCTGGCCTCATTGTCCTTTTTCAGAAGTTATTGCCGTCTTGGATCACCTGGGGATCCCAGGACCTGTCCTGTTACATGGAGCGGTGCTGGCATGGCTTGGCATCAGGGCTGCTGAGAGGCTTGGGCAGGTGCAGGAACTGAGCTTCAGGGCTTTTGTTTTGTTTTTGTTTTCAGTACTGGGGATCAACTCAGGACCTTGGGCTTGTGAGGCAGGCATGGCACAGCTGAGCCACATCCCCTGACCCTTCAGGATTTTGTTTGTAATTTTTTAGAGATGAGTTCTCCTTGTGTTGCCCAATGTGGCCTTGAACTCCTGGGCTCAAATGATCTTTCCTGCCTCAGCCTCCCAAGTAGCTAGGACTGCTGGGACTGCAGGTGTGTGCCACCACACCCAGCTAGGTGCAGTTTTTGTTAGCAGGATAAAATCCTACAAGAGCAATAGATGGGAAGTGTTGTAATAGTTGCCTCTCAGAATTTCCTTAACATTTTCCCCTGCTGACTCCGTGGTGGAGGAGAGTATGGGCTGTGGGCTGAGAGGGTCAGACACCCACTTACTGTCCTAACACTGTGCCTTCCTGGCTCTGTGCCTGTCTCCTCGGGTGTAAGATGTGCTGCTGCTGCTGCTGCTCCAGACTCGGTGCTTGGAGCTGGCGTTCAAAACTGAGTTCTCACTGCTGTGCCTCTTTCAGGTGCAAACAGGTGCACGGGCGCAAAGTGCGCTGCTCCAGCTGTGAGGAGCAAGCCCAGGCCTGAAGGTACAAGTCCGGTGTGGGCTCTCCTGGGTGTCCCACTGCTTCACCAGAGTCCGGGCCCTCAAATGCCAGAAGTCTGTGGGGCGGAGACCAGGTGGCTGCCTTGACGTCAGGCGTGGCACTGGGCCTGGCGTTCTGGACTGGCCCTCTGCCCCTGAGCTGCATACCCAGGCCCTGGCCTGGCTTTTCAGAGCAGCTTTGGGGGCAGGGGGGTGGGGGGATGTGACTACCAGGCCTGAAACCAGAGCTGGCTCCTGAGTTCATCCAGCACTTGTGGAAAACCCTAAAATTACCCGCTTGCCTTCTAGAGTGTGAGTTCTCGCTTCCTGTTTCCTTCCCTGGACTTTCCCCAGAGCGGAGAAAGCAGAAGTCTCAGGCTGGAGACACCTGTGGGTGGCCCTGGATTGGGGGAGTGCAGTGGAGCCCAAGATGAAGGCCTAGCTCCCCCCTTGGTGGTGCTGGCCCTGGAGTCACCCCTCTAGGGAGGATGAACCTTCTATAGAAGTGAGAGCCATAGGGCTGTGTCCCAGGCAGCCTTGTAAAACAGCTTGAGCATCTCCAGAATCCGAAGTGTTCTGAAACTATTTTTTTTTTTTTTTGAGACAGGGTCTTATGCAGTTCAGCCTGGCCTTAAACTCACTATGTAGCCCAGGCTGACATGGAACTTGTAGTGAACCTCCTGCCTCAGCCTCCCGAGTGCTAAGATTACAGGTGTGCACTGCTATGCCTAACTATGTTCTGAAGCTTTTTGATCACCAAAATGAAGCTCAAAAAACGCAACATGCAAATATTCCAAAATCCAAAATTCTCAGCTGGGCATAATAGCACACACATAATCTCAGGTACTTGGGAGGCTGAGGCAGAAGGATCTCAAGTTGAAGACCAACCTGGGCAACTTAGCAAGACGCTGTCTCAAAATAAAAATGAAATAGTGTTCGGGGATGCAGCTCCGTGGTACAGCACTTTGGCATGTGTGCAACCCTGGATTCCATCCCCAATAGAACAACAAAAATAATGAAAAGCTTGGAAAACTACAACCCTGCCAGGTGCTGCTGTGAGTTGCACTCATTTGGGGGCCCCTGGCCATAGAGGCCTCCTGGGGGCAGTGCCCAGGCAGGTGGCCGGGGACTGAAGCAGAGTCCACATCCTGGGCCCAGAGGCCACTGGGCTGTGAAGGGCAGCTGGTCTGGCCCACCAGGACAGTGACTTCCCTGCCCCTTCCAGGAGCACCGATGGTGATGGCTTCCAGGGGCTTCTACCTGGCCTGCCTGCTACTGGGTGCCCTGGGCTTCCTCTGTGTCCTCTGCACTACCTACTGGGCTCAGCACTGGCGTGGTGGCTTTGCCTGGGATGGCGGCCAGTACATGTTCAACTGGCACCCAGTGCTCATGGTGTCGGGCATGGTGGTGCTCTATGGAGCCGGTGAGTGAGGTCAGCGTGGGGGGAGGGCATTCGGGGAAGCCTGGTAAGGGCAGGGGCATCTCAGGTACTTGGGGCCGGAGTGGGTGAACTTCCTGTCAAGGGGCAGACAGTAAACCCTGCAGGCTTTTAGCAGGGAGTGGGGGTGCGTGCCTGGCATATCCTCACTCTGGGGAGCTGAAGCAGGAGGGTCTTAAATTCCATCCCCACCTAGGCACCATAGCACCCTGGGGAAAGCCAGTTTTCAAAATCAAAAATACTAAAATGAGGACCGGGTGTGGTGGCGTACACCTGTCCTCCCACCACTTGGGAGTCTAAGGGCAGGAGGAGCGCTGCCATTCCAGGCCAGCCTGTCTCAGAAAATAAACAAACAGATAAATAAAACGAGGGCTGAGGATGTTACTCAGTGGGAAGGCCTAGGTTCAGTGTCCAGTGCTGCAGGTAAAATAAAACAGAAACAGGCAGGCTTCAGTTACATGCAGCCACAGTAAAGCAGTGCATGGCTGTGCTCTAGAGCTGCATCCGACTGCCTGCTGGGAGTGAAGGGCCAAGGCTTGACTCAGGTTTGCTCCCTTCTGGGCTCTTTGTCCCACAAGTTGAAATAATTGCTTTATGAAATAGGAAGTAAGCTGGGCGTGGTGGTGCCCTCCTGTAATCCCAGCACTCGGGAGGCTGAGGCAGGAGGATCGCTGTGAGTTCGAGACCTGCCTGGGCTACACAGTGAGTTCAAGGTCAGTCTCAACTGCATAGTGAGACCCTGTCTCAAAAAAAAAAAAAAGAACAGAAATAGGAAGCGAGCCCCCTTCTCCATTTGTAAAAGGGGAATAAACGAGCCAGGCGTGGTAGTGCTTCCCTGTAATCTCTGACTCAGGAGGCTGAGCACTGCACCTGCCTGGCAAGCGCAAGGTTCTAAATTCAATGCCCAGTACCAAGAAAATAAAAAGGTGAGCATGGCAACACTGATCACGGTTCACAGCTCCCTCCTGCTTTGCAGACCTCCCCTTTTTGGTCCCTAGGAGCAGCTAAGAGACAGAGCCGGGACTGACCTTCACACCTGTGTTGTTTTCCTTCTTTATAATTTACTCTGGAGATGGGAGTCTGCCTGTATTGCCCAGCTGGTCTTGAACTTGTGATCCCCCTGCCTCAGCCTCCTGGAGAGCTTGGATCACAGGAGTGGCCTCTGCCTCAGGCCAAGGCCTGAGCTCTTGGCAGATGACCCTGGCTGCTAGAATTTGGTTTGATGAGCTGGTGCTTTTTGGCAGCTGTGTTCAAACCACACTTAACTAGCGACAGAATGGCAGGTGTTTCTTTCTTTGAGGCTTTGGGGATTGAACATAGGGCCTTGCCCTGAGCTATATCCACAGGCCTTCCCATTTTTTTCTTAAACTTTTATTATTTTGAGGCAGGGTCTCATTAAGTTGTCCAGGCAGGCCTTGATCTCATGATCTTCCTGCCTCAGCCTCCAGAGCAGCTGGGGTCCTAGGCACCGCCCCCTGTGGTGGCTGTTATCCTGTGATGGCCACACAGAGGACACCAAGGCTGGTGGCTGGGTGGGCGTCGGGCCCCAGCGGATGCTCTCTGTCCTGCAGCATCTCTGGTGTACCGCCTGCCACAGGCACGGCTGGGGCCTCGGCTGCCCTGGAAGGCCCTGCATGCGGCCCTGCACCTGGGGGCCTTCGTCCTCACTGTGGTGGGGCTGGTCGCTGTCTTCCGGTATCACAGCCGCGCCAGGATCACCCACCTCTACTCCCTGCACAGCTGGCTGGGCCTGGCTGCCACAATCCTCTTTGCCTGCCAGGTGGGTGCCCTTCCCTCTGCTCACAGCAAGGCCCCACTGGCTGTTGCCACCCCATCCCTGCCCTCTAATAGAGGTGGCTTCTGCTGTAGAGGGCCTCATGTGAGGGGCTGAGGTGGTGTCAGCGAGGGCCCACACCAGTGTGTGCCTTGGGGCAGTGCACAGTGGCTTGTGGGGGCATCCACGTGTGCGGGCAGAGCCCCTGGGGCCGTGGGGTTGGAGGTCGCACAGCATGACAGGGCCTCTCTCCTCCCTCCTCCCACAGTGGTTCCTGGGCTTTGCCGTTTTCCTGCTGCCCTGGGCATCACTGTGGCTGCGCGGCCTCCTGAAGCCGCTCCATATCTTCTTCGGAGCCGCCATCCTGTCTCTGTCGATGGCGTCCGTCATCTCTGGCATCAATGAGAAGCTGTTCTTCAGCCTGTGAGTGCATGGGGCCCCGAGGCTGAGGTAGGGAGGCCGCGGGTCTGAGGTGTAAGCAGTGCATAGCACTGGAGCCAGCACCCCGCCAGGCCTGTGGCTGTCGTCCTTCGGGCCGAGGTAGTGAGCTGGTCAGCAGATGCCGACAGCACTCAGCCTCCTGTCAGAGCTGAAACCCATTCATCTGCCCTACGATCTCCATGGCCTTGTCACTACCACTGAGAGAGGACATGAAAGCTGGGTGTGGCGGGCTGGGCCTGTCACCCCAGCCCTTGAGAGGCTGAGGCAGGAGGATCGGGAGTTCAAGGTTAGCCGGGGCACTTCAGCAAGTTGCAGGCCAGCCGAGCTACACAGTGATAGTTACGTACCCAGAGACACCCTGGCCCCAAACAACAAATCAGAGCACTAAGGTTGTGACTCGCCCAAGGGACAGCAGCAGGTGAGGGTGCTGGGATCGGAGCCTCAAGCACCTGACAGGTATTGTGGTGGCAGGGACTGAGCAAGTCAGCCAAGATCTAGGCCGCACACAGCCCCAGGAGAGCATTCTCCCCACCAGTGGCCTCTCACAGCTGTGTTTTGTCACCCTAGGAAGAATGCCACCATGCCATACCAGAGCCTGCCCAGTGAGGCCATCTTTGCCAACAGCACAGGGCTGCTGGTGGTGGCCTTTGGGATACTGGTCCTCTATGTCCTCCTGGCTTCATCGTGGAAGTGCCCTGAGCCAGGTGTTTTGGCCGACAGACAGGTCTGGTTGAGGTCCCTGTCCTGGGCTGGCTTAGGCCAGGTCTATGGGGCTGCCCAGGAAGGATGGGGGGAGCACGGTGTGGCGGTTTCACCAGGAACGGAGGGGCGGGGAGGTGGCGGCTGGTGGTAGGGTGCCCTGTCCTGGCTCAGGGCTCCAGGAACCTCCCCAGTTCCTGTGGCTCTGGCCTGAGGAGGGCAAGAACTCACTTCCGCTCTGCCAGCCTCAGGCTGTGGTAGTGGGGCCTGACAGATGTATTGCGGGGCTCAGGCCTCCCCACAGACCTGGTGGCTGGGGCGAGGGCTGCAGGCTGGGTCCACTAACCCTGGGCTCTGCCCTCTTGGCAGCCCCTGTTGTGCGACAGGGAGTGATGTGGGCAGGGGCTCCTGGAAGTCGCCGCTGTCTGCGCCCCACGGAAGAGCCATCCACCTGAACCTGCCTGAGGTCGGCCTCCCTCCAGACAGCTGCTGTTTCCGCTTCTCTTGTCATTGGCGTCTCAGCAGGGACTCCTTGGTCTCTGTCTGGGCAGGACCCTCATGCCCTGGCCGCTGCTGCGTGCGGCCTTCTCTGTGCAGATTGGGCAGTTCCACAGGAAGTGGGTCTTGGGATTTGGCAGAGTCCAGCCAGTGTAGAGGCTTGGACTTTGGTGCAGCCCCAAGCACTGCCATTTCCCGGATGTTGGCCCTGCGTGTGGCACCACAGCATCGTGTGACTGTGGGTGTGGGGCTCTTCCTCTCCCAGCTGCTGCTCCAGCCAGGGTGTGGATGCCACCCTTCCTGGGGCTCTCATGCCCATCACCGCAGTCCTGGGAGCCTGGTGACGGTCCTGCCAAGTCCCAGGAGGGTGAGAGCCTCCCTTGCTCCCCCTGCTGGCCATGGACATCCTGTCCACCCTCTGCCAGTGTGGCTCAGCGGAAACCAAGGTGACCGAGTGGGGCACTGTGCCCAGTGACACTCGAGGTCTCCCTGCTCACTGCAGGCCCCTCCCCACATGCTGGCTCTGCCCTGGGAACAGCTGTGCGGGCCCATGCCCAGGCAGGGAGGCACCGGCTGCCTGTCCCGAGCATGGGCATCTCCCTGGCTCACAGAGCTCGCCTTCCATTAAACCCGTTTTAGAACTGATGCTGCACTGTCCATTTACCCCCCTGGGGCTGAAACATCGCCTCTTCCTAGTTTGGGGGCTGCATGGATCTGGTGTCCAGGGGTTAAGAGTGCCAGGAGCCACGAGGGCCTTAGGACCAGGCAACCTCCCCATCACACAGGTCAGAAGAGCTTGATGGAAGCCTTTTCTGCATGAGGCATGCTGTCACGTGAGTGCTGGGGGACCGTGAGGGGCTCTGTCCCTAGGGACTGCCTATGCGGTCCTTGACAGTGGCCTCAGGGAGCGTCTCATCTCGAGAGGAAGGAAATGCTTCCTGTTCTACAAGCCGGAAGTTGACAGCGCACAATGGACCATTGACAGGCCTGAGGCCCCCAGCCAGGCAGGGACAGAGCGGGGACCACAGGCTGCATACTGGGCATGTCTGCCCGTGCAGACTGGCAGCTGGGCAGGAGACGGGGGAGGAGGTACTGGCTGCAGGTGCAGTGCAGGGAGTGGTGACACCGGGCCACCCCGTCCATGCCCGCCCCGGGAGGTGACCCCACCGACCCCATGGCTCACAGCCGGTCCACACAGAGCAGGGGTCACCTCGGACACGGGCGCCCTGGTGTCGTGTGCCTGGTGTGCAGACAGCCCTGCCTACTCGCCCAGGTGCCAGGAAGGAGATGGGCCGGCAAGGTGTGGGTGGCAGTTTCTGGCCCCACAGATGCAGGGCACAGTCACTGGGCAGGGCCTGCCTGGTGCAGGTGTGAGCCACGCAGGGGGCTGTTTGCGTGCCCGGCAGGACAAAGGTCCCCAGGAGTGCGGCTCCACATGGTTTATTTCTCAGCTTCCTTTTCCACACACACTGGGTTGAGGCTGGGGAGGCCTCTCATGAAGGGTGGAGGGGCAGTGACCACAGGGCTGGGCAGGGTGGGGACTGGGGACAGGACCGCACACTCCAAAAGGCCAGCCGACACCACAGCCCGGTGCAGGGCTCCAGCCACTCGGGGCAGGTGTGGGGCTGGGGAGGTGGTCACATGCCCAGCGCCTGTATGGCCTCCAGGATGGCTCGGAGAATGGCAGCAGCAGCCACAGCACCAGGGTCGGGCTGGTCCAGGCGTGAAGAGCTGATATAGCTGGCCCTGCCTGCTGCAGCCTCCATGGTCTTGGTGGCCTCAGCCGCAGCAGTGGCACTCTAGGGATGGCAGAAGAGATAAAGACAAACATAAGGGTCCCCTTCCTTCTGTGTCCTGCAGCTTGTCCTGGTCCCTCGAGCCTCACCGTTCCCTGTGGCCTTCTCTGCCCCACCTGTCTCCCGGGGGGCTGGGCAGGGCTTTGGGCCTGCCCCACTCACCTGGACCGCTTTGGTCAGGACAGGCAGGAGGTCGGCCCCGGGGTGCTTCCAGGCCTGGAGCTCCTGTCCCGCTACCCACAGGGAGTCCAGCTTAAGCAGGGGAGAGAGGGGGCTGAGGGAAGGCCCTGCCACTGAGCTGGCCTTCAGGGATTTGGGCTAAAGGAGGAGGGTACACACCATGGTCCTGTCGCCCGGGGCAGCCTTTCCATACCTGGCAGGGAAGAACCACAGGCTCACATCAGGAGATCACGCTAGGGGAGGGACAGGGCCCGGCTGGGGGCAGGGGAGGCCCGTCACCCCTGGCTCACTTCTGCATGGCGTCCAGGCCAGCATCCATGGCAGCAGACCAGGCCGCCAGGTGGGTCTTGGCCTTGAGGGGCTGGGCAGCTGCAGTCAGGAACAGGCCGTAGAGCTGGGGGCACAGGACGCTGAGCTGCCTGACACACCCGTCCGCAGCCCTCCCACCAAGCAGCCACCACTCACCGCCCCAGAGGAGCCCCCCATCTTCTCCAGCAGCAGGACAGACAGGCTGGACAGCAGGCGCGTGGGACTGGCGGGTGGCGGGCCCTGCTCCAGCCACCCCTGGATGGCTGCGAACAGAGGGCACGGGAACTCGGGTGGTGCCCCCCCATCTCCCTCCCTCTCTGCTGCCACCAGCAGCCTATGTGTGCTTCGGAGGGGTGCCGAGTGCCAGTGCAGGGGCTTGGGCTGCTTGGCCGGCTCTTCCGCCAGTCAAAGCCGTGGCACCCTGGCCCACACAGGGCACCACGTATGCCTTTCCTAAAAGAGTAGTGGGCAGCAAAGCGAGTCCCGAGTGGAGGGGCCTATTCTCCCGGGTGACACCCCACACCCGCAGCGTGCCGAGTTCCTCTTCCTCAGGAAACGGGAGGGAGGCGTGAATGTCTCACATGGCAGAGGAAGGCGGCACCCACAGCAGCCCTCCATTGCTTTGGGATTTGTCCTGTGCTTGCCCAAGAACCTCCTGCAACTCCAGGGCCCTGCTCTGACCTCGGGCTGCGCGGCTGTGGGTGGTGCCGCAGTCCCCGTCACCAGCTGCCCGATCCAGGGCATTTAGGGGCTCCTCCAGGTCCAGCAGGGTGGTGCACACCTGCTCCAGCACGCGCGCCACCCTCTGCGAGGCCACGCCTGCC